ATGTCAGGCACACTGAATTTTAATTCCCACGGTGGATCCAGATAATCAGGAAATTTTCCATCTGCAGGAGGACTTTGAAATAGCATGTGACATTTTTACAGCTGGTCGTAATTTCATGCTTTGTCACCTTTGATCAAAGCGTCACCTTAAATGAAGGCAAGGAGACAGAAAATGCTACAGTGAAATACACAACATAACCAATTTACCTGAGTCTAAGAGTAAAACTCACATGCCATAATAATGCTCCCTCCAAAACTCACATGCAGAGGGAACCCGATTAAATTAGAAAATGTGTAGAGCTAACAGCATATTGTGAATTATCTCTAATATTATTTTAAAATTTGAATCTATCACAACTCATCTCAAAGTATGGAAATGGAGAGAAGGAGTCAAATTAATGGAAAAATGCAAGTTATGTATATACTGATTGCTCACCCTTTATAAGGAAGTATAGCCTCTGTGATAAATAATATATAGGTAAGCATTCTCCCAGCTACACCTGTTACCTGACAACCCAACAGATGAGAATCAAGCAATATGTATTGACTGCTTCCTCTACCAACATAGTTCTCACTGGGAAACTATCAAGGGTTAGTTTAGAAGGATGAACTATTTAGGACAATCACGAATGTTTACGATACTGTGCAACTTGGTGGTGGAGAAGGAAGTCATCTGCTGTCAAACCTCCTAGGTTTGACACAAATTTAGTTGTGAAATGTTCAAATATTTGCCGTCTATCTTAGTCTGTTTGGGCTGCTATAATAAAATGCCACAGACTGAGTAGTTTATAAAAAGCAGAAATGTACTGCTCACAGTTCTGGGGGCTGGACGTCTGAGATCAGGCAACGCCACTCCTCTCGGTGGCAGACTTCTCCTCATGGCAGGAGAGGCCAGGGAGCTTTGTGGAGTCTCTTCTTTATAAGAGGACCAGAGGCTCACCCTCATAATCTGCGTACCTCCCAAAGCCCCCGCCCCCTAATGCCATCACACTGGGTGTTAGGATTTCAACATACAGACTTCATGGGGAATCAAAACAATCCAGACCGTAGCACAACCTAATGATTATATTGTACATTTTAAAACTTCCTATTTTCCTGCTGCCTCAACATCCCCCAAAACAGGCTATGAGCACCCCTCCAAGATAACCAGGTACACCAGTATGAAAAGGCTGGTCCCTGCCACAAGTTCCCCTTCTTGCCCTTCCCTGACTGTGAGCTAGTGACATTCAAACACACCAGTGAGATCCTCTCGCACCTTCTGCTGAGTACTCCACCCTGACCCTCAGTTGCCCATGGGTTCTCACTCTCAGCTCCCCACCCACTTGGTTGAACTGGCTCCCTTGATGTTCTGACTTGAGGCCCCTTTATGACTGTCTCTCCAGGACCTGAGAATGTAAGAAACTTGTTTTCTTGCACTTGTCCAGTGCCTCCTGTTGTGGCCACACCTGACTGACCATCTAACGAAAGAACATAGAACGACACAACAAGGGCTTTTTAAAGGAGATGAAAGCAATGTCTGCATGCATCATCTAATGAGTTAATGTTAGAAATGAAGAATCTAAAGCCCACAAGGACAGTGACTTGATCAAACTCCCCAGACTAATGAGTGGCAGAGTAAATCTTTTGTCTCAGATCTTTCAATAGGTACCTAGTTTTTTTCTGTAAATACACTAAGCTGCTTCTCTAAATATCTGATTTTCCCATGTTCTCTCTCATTTTTCACAACAGGTTACTTCCATAAAGTAAAATAATAAAGACCAATAATTATTGCAAAGATTTTTCACACATATTAATAAAACGCTCAGTCAGTTAATCTGTTCCAACAAACAAGTTTGGATAAATTAGTTCAGGATTACTATTTTAACAGTTAATACACGTAAAACTAATCGAACAGTTGTCTGTGTAACTGCAAATAGCAAGAAGTTCTTTCCTTCCCTTCTTCTCTTTTTGGTTGTTGCTCTCCATCATGCTGTAACTAGCTACCCTATAACTTAGTGGTCTAAAACAAAAGCTTGTTACTGTGTTTCCTGATTTTGTGGATCAGGAATTTGAGCAAAGCTCAGATTCGTGATTTTTCTGCTCTGTGTGGACTTACTGGGGTCATTCTATGGTATGCAAGTGGCGGATGGGTAAATCAAGAGGGTCCAAGATACCTTTACCCAGATTTTTGTTTTCTCAGCACAGATGGCTAGAAGGTTGGGCTCAACTGGGTCACTTTCTCCATGTAAACCTCAGAGCCTCACCATGTGGGTTCTCCAGCAGGGTCATTGGACTTCTTACCTGGCACCCTAGTGCTCCAAGAGACCACGGGGGAAGCTGTCTGTGCTGTTGAAGGCTAAGCCTGTCATGGTGTCCCCACCATGCCCTATTTGAAAAGGTAGCAGCAAAGTAAGCCCTGATCCTTGATGGGAGGAGTGTCAGTGCACTTGTAGTCATCCTTAATCTTGCACAATACATTATCAGCCCTAAGGTTACAGTCAAAGCCTTAATAATTACCTTCTTTCCCTTCGCCGTCTGATTTAGAATAGCTAAGCTTTCTTAATCAATGTTTAATAGGAATATATATTAGTCTTGGGACAATTCAGAGTTACTCATGTTGAAATAACTAAGGTGGTCTTTTTCATTCTATGTTTGTAAACTATCAGATACACTTTAGTTTTATTTAAACTTCCTGCTTAAGAAGATTTACATTTTTGGTTTTACTGTCTATTGTTATGTTGTAGGGTTTTGACATCATTGAGACTCAAATTCAAGTAGATTTGTTCTGAAAAGCCTTTTTCCACTGCTTGGGCTCACTGCATATTTTTTAAATGATTTGTGAGTAAACTATAGATAGTATGACTATATCTTATCAAAATGAAATTAACAAGAAAGGGAAACAAAAGAATCATTTTTAAGTGACTATGCGATGTTGGGTATGTTGATAGTTATGTAGTAACCACTGGCAGATAATATACTTTATTTAATTGTGGCAAGAGAAGCTAATATATTATTAATATTAATATTAATATTATTATATTAGTTGGATTTTTACAAATCAAAAGAAAATGTCACCTAAATTAGGAAAATGATAGTCAGCCCAAGAATTATACCTCCAAACCCATATGTTTCCTGCTTTTCTGGAAGTGGGAGATAATCTTGGTTGGGCATTTATATGTGCTTTAGTCTCCATTCCAAGTTTTAGCCACTTTAAACAACACAAATGGTTAGAGGACTTGAAAACTTCATGTGACTGCATTACCTGTATGTAAAACTAGTGTTGAAACAGGAATCTATTCATGGTTTTAATGGTAAATGAAACAGAATAGATCAAATATTGCAAACAATTTTCAATATGGAGTCACTTTTCAGATGGATAATTTTAAATTTAATGAATGTGAAACAAACTATCTAAATATTTTATTACTCAAACTCAAACTCAGAAGTAAAAGAGATTGTGCTGTGATAGTTCTCTGACGGAAGAAAATCTTGGAAGCAGTTATCAAAATCATATTTTCTCACATGAAAGGATGTGAAACCACCACAGATGCTAATAGTATCCAAGAAAGAAGTCAGGTGAATACCAAAGCTAATCAGCATTTCTAAAAACTCAGATAAATTTGAGACTATAATAGGATTATACTCTCTGCTACTCAAGCCATCAATATTTGCATATGAAACTGGTAAGGTTTAGAAACTGGGATAGCGCTACTAAGCCTAGATTTGTGCCAGTAACAGCTGGAACTTTTCTTGACTTTTCTTTCTGCAAAGAAAAAAATAGGAAGAAAAAAAAAAAAGCCTCCTTCAAAGTAGTTGCTTTGAAATCTCATGATTAGATGAGACTCAGTCTGATATCAAATCAGAGAGCGAGAAAGAGAAAGAGGGAGAGAAAATCATTTCAAGTGCTAATTATAGGAAGTTCAAAACTCAAGAAGAATAGCAGAATACTTTTAGGAAACTTATCTTTTAAAAAAATTCCAGTGTAACTAAAGTCACATGAGACAGAATTTAGGTAAAAGAAAATGTTTTCTCCTAAAAATAGAAAAGAAGGATGTTATAAGACATTACATAAAAACACATATTATTGATTTAAGAATGCATACTTGGTAAAAATATATTAACACAGGATAGTGACAAAATAGAATAGCATGACATTCAATATTATAGATCCACTTCGTCATAGCTGAACAATTAAATTTCAGTAGAGCAGAATGATTTACTGTTTTTGACTGATGAGCGTCGAAATGCTAAGTCTGATTGCGGAAGAGTTGATTGAGTTGACATGCCAAAATAGATCAACTTGACTGATTGCCCTGAGTGACTCTAACCAATTCTTCAGTAAAGCAATGTGCAAAAATAAAACGATTTCAGTATATCTTACTTGTTAAGTTTAAAAACCACACCTTTAACTCCCAGAGAGTCAATTCTAATCACATGAAAGAACTTTAGACTTTCCCTCTCTATTAACGGAGCCACCAGCCATATGTGGCTATTTAAATTTAAACTTAAATGAATTAAAATTAAATAAAATTAAGTTTGGAGTTCCTCAGTTGTATTAGTTTCATTTCAAGTGCCCAACAGTCCCATGTGGCTCAGGGCTCCCATACTGGACAGTGCAGATATAGAGCCTTTTAATCACAGGAGAGAGTTCTATTGGACAGCACTGATCCAGAGAATTCCACTGGCTGAAATTAAGTTTTTGTGTATTAGAGACAATCTAATATTGTCTCGTAAGATCCTTCAAAGGTACAATAATATAGAACGAAAGGTTATTGACATTACCATAGTTACAACTTTTGACAAATGGATAAGTAAAAGATAAACAATAGACTTTTTTTTCTTAATTGGCTAAGGATGAAAATAAGCATAATTCTAACTAGTAGACTAGCCTACGGAAATAAGCACAACATAGTTTGTAGTCAAATAAAATTGATGCATTCATGATGACTTTTAAAAAATCTGCAGGATTAACCAAACTTTAAAAGTTGGCCCTCTTCACTCTTTTTTTTGCCCCCCAAATTCCGAGCTCGGATCAAGTGTAGAAACTGTCATAGTTATAATGGTCAGTAGTAAAAGCTTTTCATCATTGCTCAGAACTGATTAGCTTTTCATATACAAACCCACCAGGGCCCATTCTCATTTACCCGTCAATAAGTGAAGCCCTCAGTTATCCACTGTCACCTTTATACACACACACCCCTATCCGACATAACCTGTTACTATTTTAAATGACTGTATACTTTTGCTTCTCAGAACTACAGAGAGCATGCATCAGGTAGACTAGAAGTTCTGATACTCAGATTTCATTATTTTTATCACTGATCCACTTTAGTAAGAGCAGATCTCAGAAAACCTCTTCATTCTTGACTGAAGTGAATGTGAATTCAGCAAGTGACCTGATATTATCTTCTGTAGTTAAAAAATATACTTTTTGACCCACCTTTATGAATCTATACAGTAAAAATTAAGGCCTTACTATAGAAGGAAGCTTATTTGGGATAATTTCTAGAGGTAAAAGCTTGGAAACAACATAAGTGTACACCTATAAGGAAATAGTTGAATAACTATGGTACACTCATCATATAAAATTATAAAGTTTTTTTTAATGTGTTAGATCTTTCACCTTTCATGTGCAGAGATTACAAAGTATACAAACATGACTTTTAAGTAAAAAAAGTGAATGAAAAACAAATACAGAAACACAAGAAGAATAAGGAAAGAATAATGAGGAAAAGCTATAATAATTGCCAAATGTGAAATCAAAAGTTAACTATATTAATATACAATTTACATGAACATGAACAAAATTGTGGAGCGTTACATACTATGCTTTTAATATTATTTAACTTGAGAGTTAAGAAAGGAGTTTACAGGAAAGTTATCAATTTTGCCTTTACATATTCTTGTATTGTTTCTCTTCTTCCATGGAGTACATATCACTTTGCAATTTAAAAATATTTAATTAAAAATAATTCATTGTGACTCTTCCATAAATAAGCCCATTCTGCAAATTAGGGATGGCAATAAATACTAATAGATTAGACTTAGCGCTTCATAATTTTTAAAGTACTTTCTCACATATTTGATTGTGACAAGGACCTTGTGAGGGTGGTTGGGCAGAAAATGGTGCTTCCTTCTGAAAATGAATCTAGTTAATAAGTGGTGGAGCCAGGATTAGCACCTGAGTGTTCTGAATCAGTGTTCCATCAGTTCACAGTATTACAGCTCCTCCAAAGAACATCCCCAAAGAAAAAATATATATAGATGGAGAAATTAAGTCCTACAAAAGTTCGTATGTCAAGTCTTTCCAATTCTATTATTTTAGCACTTGTCTTCAGCATCATCCTCTCTTCTCCAACTAAAATCCCTTTTTAATGTTTCTAAATAAAAATAAGTTTGTAATTAGGATAAAAAGCATGAGTGTGAAGAATTATGATATGTTTATACTGAAGATGTATTTTTAAGTATAAAAGAATGTTTATATGTTGGAAAATTATTTTTACTGAAATACAGTGTCCCTTGTTTTATTCATTTGCATCAAATAGTAGCACCCTTTTGAAGAGATGGTGCACAGATAAATTTCTGTGCGTTGTTAAAGCCGGGAACATTCTTACACATCAAGTATTAGAGTATAGCACAGCATCTCTTTCAAATGATAAAAATTAAAGGGGAAATGGTAAGCACTGGCAAAGCCAGAAGGGTAGCAAAGGAAGTGTGATGGCAAATAGAGTAACATCATTTTTCACTTTCATTTTTCAGGTAAGGAAAACTTGTCTATGAAAAGTGAATTTAACTTACAAATAATGTGGTATAAATGTACGAGGCCCTGTTTTGTTACAATAATGAGTAAACCGAGGTAGCTATATGCAATATTTAGCCAGAAGGGAAAAGTAACATTTTAAAATAGTAACTCGTGAAGAGCAGTGGAGGCATATATAATCTGTCATACAGAGTGAATCAGTTCAAACGTCAGAGAGCTTTTGTTTGTGCATTATGCTAAGCTGTATGGGGTTATCTGATGTCTGTTTTCAGTACTGATAAGTAATGTCATTTTTTAAGTTGACGTCTTTGCAAAGAAAGGACACGGAACACAACCTGTTTAGGATGTCAGTTGGAGAGGACTGCAGAATAACGTTGTGCACTTTCCATACTTAAGCCTGCATTTCAATCCTATTTGCTTTTAGTCTCCACAGTAACTAGGCATATTAGGGAGCTCAGACACTTATAAATATCATAAACCAGATGCTCTCTTACCCACAGGATTTCTGAAATCCTTCCAATGGGAAAAGTGGGCTGGAATCCAGGGCCAAAATCCCTGAGCCTAAATTGATCGAGACAGTAGAAAATAAAAGAAAAAGAGGATATCTGATTAACAACTCTCTGTGATTACTAAATCTAAAATCTTTTTTCTAAGTGATTGGCACCATTCAACACTAATTACATAAGTTTTGGTCTAAACTTTTTTTGAGTTATTTGTCCGTACATCTGTTTTTATATGTGAGTATAACTCATGGTACGGCATTTTTTAATCATACATTGGTTTGAGTTGAACATATAATGCCTCTTGAAAAATAAAAAGAGAGAAATGGTGACCTCATGAATAAGAGAAGAAAAAGAAAGTAATTTGCCCAAAGGAACATCTTATTAAGCTGTTTGGAGTGGGAGAACAATTGAGATTTTTGCATGTTTATAGACAAACCAGTGTGGGTTCCTCAACTATAGGAAGGAAATTTTCATAGAGAAAATTTATCTCCAATTCCAAGGAGCCCAATATCATACCCTATGGAGCCATAAAACTAGCTAATAGAGATTTTCAAATTCGGATGATAACTTTGCAGGTACCAGTAGACAAGGGGAAAAGACCTAGAATCTTTCTTATAGGTTTTAAAGTTATTCACAGGTGACATTTAAAATGCAAGAGTAAAAGGTAAATTCTAATATCTCATGTGCTGAATTCACTGCCAAATTTTTATTTCTATAAGCATGAAAGAGATGTTTTATAAAATTACACAAATATTACACTAAAAGTTTAGTATCTACAGGATTGTCAGTTAATACTAAACATGTGGCAAGGACATTCAGTACTTATTAAGCCTATGGAAAATTTTATCAGTATCTTTGGCTTTAACAATAAAAGGTGAAATGATCTGTACTCTAAACAGTGCAATTCTACAATAACTTATTAGGGCTTATTGACTTAGATGTGAGGGTCCATCCTCCTTCTTTCATTGTTTATTGAGTCCTGGTGTTAGTTTGTCACTATCTGATGGAATTTGTCCACTCCAGCTTAAATATTCTGGGCAGATTCTGTGGCTGTCTAGACTTTTCTGACTGTGGTTGCAGTATTAAGAATCTTTCAGTTAGTGGCCCTGAAAGACATTGGAGACACAGGAATTGACTCTCTGTTCCTATATTCCCTGAGACTGAGCTGCTGGTCAATTCTCTGGCAAGAGACAAGCATCATTTTCTCCTCCAGTACATTCCTACTCTTACTCATCCTCAAGGATAAAATAAGAATGCCCTCCTTCCCTGCTGAAGAACAAGGTAGGGGGAACGCAAGTCAACGTAGGTAATAGATATTTGTAGTTATTGTGAGGCTTTAACGTGTTTATATGTCCAATGATTGCAAGCTATCTTATGGGGGAAATGAGCAAAGTTTGAATTGCTTTCTTGTTTCTTAATGCACTGCTAATTCTATTGCAGGTATGAACTAATTCAGTCTCTTTTATTCTATGCTTTAATTATGGAGACAAGCTATGTACATATGGATAAAACAACAATCCAATGCACCATATTTGAACATGCCATAGATTGGAATTGACAGTTATTGATAAAGTCTGTTAAGCTATCCCAATCATTCTAATTTCCCTTAGCATAATCAAAATATTTAAAAATATATTTTATGATTATGATTATTATTTGATTATTTCCTATACCCTTTATTGTTCCAAGATAACAGAGGCTTTTGTTTGTCTTATTTATTTGCCTGATAATAATATGTATTCAAGAAATACTTATCAACTGAAAGAAAGGAAATATGAATGTGCTCTAGAAGAACAAGATAAGATGCAACAATGGAGGAAAAAAAGGAGAGAATGAAATTTATTATAGCTGGAGGGATGTTTGAAGAGTAAAGATAGGAATGCTCATGGTGTGTTCAGAAGACCGTGATGAGATCAACCTGACTTGAGCAGAGGTTTTCACAATAGAGCATAAGGAGATAGAGTTGAAGAATTAATATGGAGCCAGATTACCAAGGGCTTTGAAAGTCAATTTAACTCTGATTGTATTCTGGGAATTAAGAGTAGAAGTAACATAGGGGCCAGCAGAAACTTATCTCCCAGTTTTGGTAAAATGATTACCAACTATATAATACTGCTCATGAAGCAGACGGAGAAAATGACATTTGTGCATAATCTTCATCTTATATTAAATCCTCTGGCTAAATTTGGTACCAAAAATCCAGATTCATCAAAGGTCAAGACCTCGAACAAATTTCCAATATCCTGCAGCAGTAAAGGTAAAACTTTTTGGGAAAAAAAAAAGAAAAAGAAGAAATGCATCATTAATATTTTCATATCACATTCCATGGTTCATAATATACTTATGTTTCATGAGCAGTATTATATAGAAGTTTCAGAAATGCCTTCACCAATTCATTTTGCTTATGTTTTCTTTTAATGTAGGCAAATAATACTGTACGATTATATATATATATGTTTACAGAATTATTTCAATAAGTATAAAATAAAATGTCTGTGATTACTGAGTATTGTGTCATAGGGTAATTCCTCTTCCTCCTGCTATACATTAAATAACCATGCACCTTTAAATCAGTGGCATCTTACAGTTGATTAAATATGGTTTGTCCCAGGAATTGGGCTAAGAGATTTGTAAGTAATACTTTACTGCATCTAAATATCTAGTCTATACTACAGTCCATACTATACTTCAGATATGTAAAATGAATCACACATGTCAAGTTCATTTCCACAATCTTACATATAGTAAATAGAGGTTTCATTAGACCCCATATCTGTCTAATTCCAAGACCTGCTCTGAATCATCACCCAGTGAGCTTGGTAAATATGTAGTTTTCTGCACTATTTCCCAAGATACTCTGCTTCAGTAAGTAAAGTATAGATTTTGGAATATGCATTGTTAACAAAATATCTAAATTATAACAAAATATCTAAATTGATTTTTTAGCAGGCGTTTGCATACCTCACTAATGTTCTTCTTTATTAGCTGATGGTGAAACATAAAAAGGAACTCAGTCAGTCTATTTGGGGCACACAATCAATAGTAGATAGCAGGAAGGCAA